ATCTCGAAAAGCGCACTACCAGGGTCCCCTGTTCTGAAATTTTGGGGCTCTTTTTTTGAAAGGCACACTTTGGGGGTGAGCTTTTTCTTTGAAAGGAGGCTTGGTCCGCCTCCCGGAGGTTGATCTCAAAGAGCTGCTTGCGGCCTGAGACAACGGCAACGATGGCCATCCGTCGAACGGAACCGGGCAAATTGACCAAGACGTATCCCCAAAACACAAGTTGCATGTGGACCAAATCCCACATAGGGCCCTCGAACAGAAATTAACAAACACGTGTCCAAAAAAAAAGCACACATGTGGGACAAATGTTGACTGTATCCAGAAATGAACCAAAAGACAGTGGCACACACGTGGGACAAATCTTGACTTTTAACCATCCACCCACCTGGACAAATTTGCCCATTTGTTTCCAGAGGGGGCGCGGGCAGGATTCCCGGATGATTCCGGATCATCCCATCGCTGAAGTGTACTCAAGGAGGTTGGCTACCGGGAACGGGTTAATCCACCATTTTACACAAAAAGCTCTACCTTCTTTGCTTGTTTGCGGGGGATACATACCCACGATCATGCATCAAGGTGTGCCTTGAAATGAGGGAACCCACAAAGTGCGGGGTCACTGGGGTGCTATGCCCCTTTCGGCCATCAGAAAGTCGCCAGTCAGCCCAGGGATGCCTCCCAGAAGGGATCCAGTGCCTGGGAAAATACCCGGAGCCCAGTTCCAGCCATGTTCCAGTGTATTTTTGAGTCTGCATTTTGTGAGGGGGTAGACATTCTGATGAGTCGCAAGCGAAAAGAAAGGAACACCACATAACACCACCATTTTGGGCCCAAACCTTAAAGAAGGACAGCACCCCATTAGGTTTTTTTAAGGGCGGCAAGCCCAGGTGGAATTGCTGGAAGGGGAATCCAGCGAAGGCCCTTCATGACTTGTTCGCTTGAAAAACCCGCACGACTTCGGGGTATGAAGGTCTCTTTCTTTGGCCCAACTCTGGGCTACAAAGATAAGATGCGTAACATAGGGATTACAAAGCCCCTTTTTCGGGGGCCTCAGTTTCGCGTCTTGGCTTCCCAGGCCCAAAAGTAGAGTTTCTGCTTCATAACACAAATGCTCAGGAATCACAATGTGCGTTTTGGGTGGCTCGCTCATTACCCTAATTATACACCTGAACATTGCAACTTGTCAAGGGTGGTTTCCCCTTTATGTTGGCGTTGAAAAAGCCACATGTTTCAAACGGGCAGGCAAAATGAATTTCTTTTAAGGAGCCCTGCTAAATGGTGTCACTTTTGCTCTAACCCGGAGGCTTGGAGGCATCTGCTCTCCAGGCGAGAGAGAAAAGGACAAAAAGGAGCATGTTACCAAGGAGTGATCGATTCCCTTTAAAGCTAGAGGAACAAAATACTACCAACCCATTAGTTGGCGAAAAGTTGTTCAGTCCTAACATCCCTTGGCAAAATGCACCAAAGAACAGACAGACCTCCTTTAAAGCTAGAAACAAATAGCAAGCCTTCCTAAGCAAACGGAAGTCCATCTCATTCAATGTCACGAATTACCGTTGACCCGGGGATTGAGCAGAACCCTGTTTATTCATATGGGGGTGTCCCTGGTTTTGGTGGGGATTCATCACTTTTGGTTCGGAACCCCCCAATAATAAGCAGGTCCCGATTCATGTGCGCCAATCACTTTAAGTCGGTTCCCTGTTTCAAATCACAGCCAGGTTCGGTTGGTCGAAGGACCTCTGTTCACCACCTAGTGAGACTGCCGCCATCTGAAGCAAACACCATCTTCCACAAGGAAGAAATGGCTTCCTGAGGATCTAATCTCAGAATTTTCCGATTACACCCTCAGAGTACACCCAAGCAAATTACCCCACAACCAGGTTTTAGCTAGAAATTTACCAAATAGTCCCAACTAAAAACCACATAACCAGGATTTATCTGGAAACTGGCTAAAATTGGGTGATTCCTCCAGAGGGTGGTGTAATCCCAGGGTGTAATAGGAAAAACACACAGTAAAAATCCATTGCCGACCATGCTGACCTCAATGTAAATTTCGTCCAACGGAAGGCGACATAGAGGTCACTTGTGGGAAACCACCACATTGGAAAGACGCATGGCTCACTAAAATCAAACACCAAACAGGCAAACAGGAAACATTGGTACTATAACTAGTATGTCTTGAATTGGGGGGGGTCCGCTTCAACTGGTCAGGTTCCTTTTGATTGTCCCGTGAAATCACCTCGAAAACCTTGCCCCGAATCCGGGGCACACAAAAACAACTAAATAGCTGTTTCCGATCTGTAGTCTACCCTAAAATGCATCAGTTTTTTGGGAGAAGACCCAGAACTATACCCCAAAATGCATCATATTCTTCAAACATCGAAGAACCACCAGTCCCAGAAGAAAGCCCCAGATCGATCCTTGGCAACTTCCCGTGGGGTCTTGCGCCCGCGAGCGCGATTCGCGCGCGCCTTCCGCCTCGGGCAGCGGGATGTAGATACGCCTCGGGCGAGGCGCTCGCAAGCGCCGGTCCAAGGGCCACACCAAAAAGCCAAGGGCTTGACTTTGACCCGAAAGAAACATAGAGGGACCCCCCAGAAGTGTCGAACCCCCCACCCCTTTTAAGGGGGGTCCCTTTTTCCCCTGACCCTGTGAACAAAACAAAGAGGGACCCCCTAGAAGTGTGGAACCCCCCAACCTTAAGGGAATTCCCTTATTCCCCTTTCAACAAAAAGAGGGCCAAATATCCCTCTCACCGCACCTACATTTGCTTAGTTGATGTTGGCTCTAGGTCGAATCCAAGCTGCCTTTCAAACAGCCGCGACCTCAAGCTACCGCAACCTCAAGCTACCCATTTGGGTGTCTTCTTTGAGGTAGAGGGTTCCCTTCGGGTTGGTTCCAAGGGACAACCAAAAGAGTCCACCCATTTTGTGGATTCCCAATTCTTCAGACAAACTGCTACGGAACAAGCAAAGGCCCCCCCACAACCCAACAAGAGTTCGCAAGGAGCCTTCTTAGAAGTCATGCATTCCACTTAGTACCCTCTTTGTTTGATGCCTTCTTTGCTGAAACACAATCTGTTGATGCATGCCCTAGATTTCTGAAGGTTCCAAAGAGCACCATCTACAACCTCACCACTGCTATGCCAGACCTCCAGGAATCTAACAAGAACCTGTGCCTCCCTGCTGCATCTGCACACCTGTTTTGCCACTCAAGCCAAATGAGTCACCTATAGTCTTCTCCATGATGCCACCAACCGCCTGCAGGGAGCACAGTCCAAGCAAATCCAGCAAGCAAAGGTGACAGGCAAGACTGAATGCGCTGCATGTGAGTTTGTCATTTGTGGGGGTTCTCCCCTAAAACTGGTGGTTTCCACTAGTTTCCCTTTAAAACCAACCCCAAAAAAGGGGTGCACCAAAAAACAACCCATGTGACACATGTCAATGCAATCCTTGAAGCAGACATTTTTCCTTCGCGAGCACAAGAGGTTACTTGGTGTACCTCTTTGGAGCACCCAAATCCTTAAGATGGTGCTCCAGCGCATCTAAAGCATCTGTGGGGATGACCCCTGCCTCTTGCTCCACTTGCCCAGGACTAAGAGGAAGCTTTGCTTTTGCAACTTGCCATTTTCTCCAAGCATGTGAGTGGACCTCACTGAGAGCATTTTGCCAACTCCTTCTGGTGACAAATGTTTGGCTGAAAGTTTTTTTGTCAAACTCACTGCCTGCCCACTCATCAAGCTGCACTTGGGTCCTTGCAATAAACCTATGGTCATTGTGATTCAAGCCCAGTTTGATGCTGGGAGGGGCCAGAAGGCCAAGCACTTCTTCAGGAGACCTGAAAATTTTCTGCCTCTTGGCAGGCCTGCGCCCTGCTGCTTGAGATTCATCTGGGTGCAAATCTGGCACTGGAGCAGCTTGAGATTCATCTGGGTGAAGCACGGGACCTGCCACTGCTGCAGGCTGAGAAGCATCTGGGTGCTGAGGCACCTGAGCAGCTTGAGATTCATCTGGGTGAAGCACAGGACCTGCCACTGCTGCAGGCTGAGAAGCATCTGGGTGCAAATCTGCTTGAGATTCATCTGGGTGAAGCACAGGGCCTGCCACTGCTGCAGGCTGAGAAGCATCTGGATGCTGAGACACTTGGTCAGCTGGCACAGGCCCTGCTGCAGATTGAGCAGCATGTGGAGGCAAAAGCAGTTCTGCTGGATGACCAGCTGGTGGCTCTGCCACTGCAGCTGGCTGCTCTGGCCTCCTCACCCACCTCCTTTTCCCCCTCCCTTTGCCCCTGCCCTTTCCCTGGGCCTTGGCCTTCGCTTTTGCCTTGGCTTTGGCTTTGGCATCAGCTTTCCTTTTGGCAATGGCCTTTGCTAAGTCAAGCTCTTGTTTTACCTTTTTCTTCCTTTTCTGCTTCTGCTTCCACTCCTTCACTTCCTTGGTGTTGTTGTCGTCTTCCCCCAACAAGGACATTACATCTTCGAGGTCAGAGTCAGCCTGCTTGTCCTCCACTGGCAGGTCCCCAAGTTTGTCTTTTGCTTTCTGCTGCGCACTCTCATCATGCAAGCAAGCATTGATCAAAAGGATCTGCAAGTCTTGTCTCTTGCTGCAGCCCTTGGGGATTGGCACTGCCAAGTGTTGCAGCAAGCACTTCAGCTGCTTGACTGTCAGGTTGGCCCCATCCTCACACAAAGCTGAGGCCAAGGTTTTTGGCTCACCAGATTTTTGCCAGGCCAAGGGTCCAGCACCGTTGTTCAAAACAACTGGCTGTGCTGGAACTACCAACCAATTTTCCATGTCATAGATGTGCCTCCAATGAAGGCAATCCCTGTTGGGAGGCATCACATATGCAGTTTGCCCACCACCTAAGGTCAAGACTCTTAAGCTCCAGGCTAGCAAGCCAAACTCTGCATATGCAACAACCTTGACCAAAGAGCTTGTGGTGCTGTGTGCCAACACCCTGCCACATTTGCCTGCAAGGATTGATTGCCAAGCACTTTCTATTTCCACACCACGCAGGTCATGCTTCCAAAAGTGCATGAGCCACTCTGTCTGGGCCAGCATTGCAAAATGGCTTGCAGGTGAAGGCGAGGGCCATGAGTTGTGGACACCCTTGGTGGTCATCATTTTTTGAAGGCTCTTGGGCAGCTTGTGGGTCCTTGGGTTCATCTTGGCCCTGATGGGTGTGGTGAAAGTCTCCTTTGGAGCAAACACCTTATCTGATGTGGACACACTGATGCAATTGGAACCTCTGCCCTCCAAAGCCTTGGACCTCAGGACAGCATGCATGATGTGTGTGTCAGAGTAAGTGTTTTGCCTCCCTTCCCTGAGCACATCCTTGCCACCAGAATGCGCCCCTTCCACAACTTTGCTGTCCCCCAAGCGCTTTGCAGCAAGCTTCTGTAGATGCGCCCCTTCTGAAAAGGATTGCTCATATGCCAGCAGCAGCACCCTTGTGAATGGGTTGTGTCTCCAAGCCAAATTTCCAAGGAAAGAAATTGCGCCCCCTGCTTGGACTGCTGACTCTGCTTCCAACAGCACGCTGAAGTCTTCTTGCACCTGCTTGTATGCAGCAGCAGACTTTGCCGGGTCTGTGGACAAAGTGCCATTCCACCTGGCCGGTGGAAGGCCAACAGAGCATGCCAAGCTGGATGACCTGTGTTGCAAGAGCTGTTCAAAGAAGCTGTCCCACTGCTGCAGAAGCTCTGATGAATCCTCATTTTCAGGCGCACTGCCATTCCCAAATTGCTTCTGCAGGGCTGACCTGTCCCAGGTAGAATATCTGACAAGGTCCTCGAGCTCCAGGCACCAAGCTCTGTCTGTGGCAGCTGACACATTCCAAGCAAGCACTTGCTGTGGGCTCAACACTGAGCGCGCCCGTTCTGCATGATGCTTCCAAGAACTCCTACAGATCTGGAGCAACATTTGCACCTTGCACACCGCACTTGTGGTGATGAGGTCACAAGCCAGCTTCCAGCCACCTTTCTTTCTCTTCAGTTCATTGAGTTGCTGCCTGGGGTCTTGCCCCTTCTTTGCTGGCAGCTCAACACCACGTGATTCAGATTGATCAGCTGGAGGCTCAGTGTCATCCTGTGCCTTAAAGGTTTGCATCAGCATTTTTCCTGCCAGCAACTCCCCTGAGAAGAACATTGCTGACTCAAACCAAGAGAACCAGCGAGACAGTTTTACCAGGGGCCCTTTCTCACTCCAACTCCTCAGCCTGGACAGGGCTGAGAACATCATGTCTTGATCTGCAAAGTTGGCTGGCTCTGGCACACCTTGCTCCCAGCACATGAGAGGAATGTACTCCTGGAAAATTGGTGACTGGCAATGGTGCTCACTCAAAAAGGCTGCAAGAGTTTCCTTTTTCCTTTGGAAAAAGCTGCCTGCCCCATATGGGCCATAGGAAATATTAAACACACATGTCATTTCCAGCATGGTCTTCCATGGGTACCCATCTGCCTGCTTTGCAGCCAGCTTCAAGTCGTTCCAGCAACGGTGGTATATGTCCCACACCAAGGTGCAGTTGATTGCATCAGCGCTGTATGCAAGGTAGGAAAGCGCGCTCAAGTTGGAAGGGCCTTGGTCAGATATTGAAACAAGTGCTGGAAGTGTGGACAGCTGCAAGGATGCAGGTATCTGTGGCCACTTTTGGTTAGCATGTTGGTCCCAAATCCACCAAGAACCATCTGCCATCTTCACACGAATTTGTGAACCCTCAAGTGGTCGCCAGTGCAGGCCGCTTGGCAAGCTGAAAGTCTCCAAGCTTGCACCCACGTTTGCAAGTGCATTTGAAAGGGCTCTCACTTCAGAGTACCCAGCCACTCTGCTGAGTTTGCCCTGTCTCCCTAGGTCTTGGAGATCTTCATGCAAATCTGACACAAACACTCTGCCCACATTTTGTGCCAGAAGGTAGCAACACACATCAAGGTTCATGCAATACAGGACTGATATCATCATGTCCTTTCCTCCATAGTTTGATGGGTCCCAACTCACTGCAAACTGTCTTTGCCCATCCAGCACTTGCCTGCTTTTGGCATTGACAAGGGCTGTGCACAAATAGTCCTCATGCTTCATCATGCTGCAATGCTTTGTGATCAAAGTGGAATGTGTTCTGGCAACTTTCCACCTGCTCATTTTTTCTTGCTTCACTCTGTCAAGCACCAGGAACTTGTTCAAAGGGTCTGAGCCCTTTCTTGAGTACCTCTTGTGTGTTCTGAGGATGGGCAGTTCCTGCAAATCTTGCCCTGTCAAGTGCTGAGCATATGATTCAACCAAGGCCCCCAAAAGGACCATGAGGCCAGGGAACACAGGCCTCCCAAATTGCACAGACAAGGGCTGGCCACACACTTTGAGCTTCGGGTTGCAAGCCAAGTAGATCATAAACAGTGCAAGATCTGCTATGTTGCACGCCTGCCAGTCACTCAAAATGAGTTTTGCTTTCCACTCTTCTTTCTGCAATTTTGACCAAAGCACTTGTGCACTGGGATTTTGCTGCATCACCTTG